ATGCTTGTCCCAATTTTTGAACGATCCACCACCCATCGCTTTCAGGGTAGTTTTTAACAATCCATTGTATCGTTCAATTTTTCCAGAAGCTGGTGCATGATAGGGAATATGATATATCCACTCAATGCCATGTTCTTTTGCCCAGCTACTTATAAGACTCAATTTTTCTGGAGTACCATGTCACCACAAGACTTGTTTTTCAAGGCCCAGGATGGTATTCCGGGCAGTGGCATGAGGCACAGCACAGGTTTCCAACCATCTGGTGCTTCCTTCCACCATTGTAAGCACAATACCACTTACCCTGGCAGGTTTGAGGGAGTGTGATGTAGTCAATCTGCCAAGCCTCTCCATACTTGTATTTCAACCACCGACCTCCATGCCACAAAGGTTTTAACCTTTTAGCTTGCTTGATTTGGGCGCATGTTTCACAATCGTGGATAACCTGCGCAATAGCGTCCATGGTTAAATCCACCCCTCGGTCACGAGCCCATTTGTATGTTGCATCCCTTCCTTGATGACCTGAAGTGTCATGGGCCCACCGAGCTAAGAACAGTTCAGTTCCCAGTCTAAATCCGTCTGGAAAATCTTAGCTGCTTGGTCTGCTTGCTGATTGTTTCGATGTTCCTCAGTGGCTCGACTCGTAGGTACCTGGGCATCTACATGGCGTACCTTCACGACCAGCCTCTCTAGCCGGTCACCAATATCTTGCCATAATTCAGCAGCCCAAACAGGTTTACCCTTGCGCTGCCAGTTGCTCTGTTTCCATTGTTTTAGCCATCCCCACAGAGCATTTGCTACCACCCATGAGTCAGTATAGAGATAGAGTATTGGCCACTTCTCTCGCTCAGCAATGTCTAAGGCTAGCTGGATAGCTTTTACCTCTGCAAATTGACTTGATTCACCTTCGCCTTCAGCAGCTTCTGCAACTCATCAAGTAGGACTCCATACAGCAGCTTTCCATTTTCGATGTTTTCCTACAGTACGACAAGATCCATCAGTGAACAAAACATACTGTTTCTCATTGTCTGACAGTTCATTATATGGTGGGGCCTCCTCAGCACATGCTACCACCTCTTCTGGTGGCATTGTGAAATCTCCACCTTTGGGCCAGTTTGTGATCACTTCTACAATTCCTGGATGATTTGGATTTCCCACTCGAGCTCGCTGTGTGATTAACCCACTTACTCCAGGTAGCATCAGTGGCATGATGCTTCAAACTTTACCTTTGAACATCCAACCCAACACTGGCAATCGGGGCGCCAGGAGGAGCTGTACTTCAGTACCAATTACTTCTGAAGCAGCTCTAACTCCTCCATATGCTGCCAAGATTTCTTTCTCAGTTGGAGTACAGTTGGCCTCAGAGCCTTTATAGCCTTGACTCCAAAATCCCAGGGGTTGACCTCAAGTCTCCCCTGGTCCTTTCTGCCATAGGCTCCAGGTAGGGCCATTGTCTCCAGCAGCAGTGTACAGCACATTTTTAATGTCCTGTCCTTTTTGGACTGGTCCAAGTGCTACTGCACACACAATCTCTTGTTTAATTTGCTCAAAGGTTTGTCGTTGTTCAGGACCCCACACAAACTCATTTTTCTTTCGAGTCACTTCATAGAGGTTTCACAATCTGACAATAACCTGGAACATGCATTCTCCAGAAGCCCACAACACCTAAAAGGGCTTGTGTTTCCTTTTTGTTAGTAGGTGGAGACATAGCTGTTATTTAGTTAATTGCATCCATTGGGATCTGGCGGTGGCCATCTTGCCATTTAATTCCCAAGAATTAGATGTCTCATGCAGGTCCCTTGACCTTACCTCTTTTTACAGCAAAACCTGCTTCTAGAAGAATCTTGATGATTTTCTTACCTTTCTGGAAAACTTCTTTTGCTGTATTACCCCACGCAATGATGTCATCAATGTATTGTAGGTGTTCTGGAGCTCCACCCTTCTCCAGTGCAGTCTGGATCAGTCCATGACAAACAGTAAGGCTGTGTTTCCACCCCTGGGGCAGTCAACTCCAGGTGTACTGGACACCCCTCCAGGTGAAAACAAACTGTGGCCTGCATTCTGCTGCTAAAGGAATAGAGAAAAAAGCATTAGCAATGTCAGTTGTAGCATACCACCTGGATGCCTTCGACTCCAGTTCATATTGCAGTTCTAGCACATCTGACACAGCAGCACTCCGTGGTGGTGTGACTTCATTCAGGCCACGATGGTCTACGGTTAGACGCCAGTCGCCATCAGACTTTCGCACTGGCCATATCGGGCTGTTAAAGGGTGAGCGAGTCTTGCTGATCACTCCTTGGGTCTCCAACCGACGAATCAGGTTCTGGATGGGAATCAGAGAATCACGGTTAGTGCGATACTGCCCACGATGCACCGTGGTGCAAGTGGTAGCAAGTGGTACCTGCTGTTCCTTAACCTTCAGCAGTCCTACCACAGAAGGGTCATCTGAAAGGCCAGGTAAGGTAGACAGCTGTGTAATACCCTCAGTCTCTACAGCTGCTACACCAAAAGCCCACCGATACCCTCTCGGGTCTTTGAAATACCCTCTCTTGAGGTGGTCTATGCCAAGGATGCACGGAGCATCTGGACCAGTCACAATAGGATGCTTTTCCCATTCATCCCTATTCAGGCTCACTTCGGCCTCCAACACAGTCAGTTCTTGAGATCCTCCTGTCACTCTTGCAATAGTGACAGTTTCTGTCCCTCTATGATTCGATGGCGTTAGGATACACTGTGCACCAGTGTCCCCCAGGGCTCTATACTTTTATGACTCTAATGTGCCAGGCCATCGGATCCACACAGTCCAATAAACTCGGTTATCCCTCTCCTCCTCCTGGCTGGAGGCAGGGCAACCCTAATGCTGAGGAGAGTATCTGTAATTGTAAGGTGAGCTCCTGTCTGGCCAGGGGCAGTACTTACTCTGAACTGGAGCAGCCATGTTCATGTAACAATCCTTTCTTCTGTCTGCTTTACCTTGCAACTCAAGCACCCGTGCCTGTAGGGCTGAAGTAGGTTTTTCATCCCATCTCCTCATGTTCTCTCCGTAATTGCAGAGGCAAAGCCACAGGAAACCTCAGAGAGAGTCCTGTTTCCTTTTGGTTGGTCTCATAGGAGGGCGTTTTTGCTTAATGGCTGTGACTTTGGTCTTAGCTGCTCCTTGGGTTTGAGCAGGAAGTTGAGCCTGAGCTGGGGAAGAGTAAGATTCTTTCCCAATCTCAGAGAGTTTTTCAAGCAGTTTGTGAAGAATTGTCTCATTTTGCTCAACTATTGCCTTGGTCATTTTCTCCATTGTCTCAGTCATTGTCTTATTTTGTGTCTTGCTTACATTCTCCATTGTCTCCTTCTGGGTCTTAGCTATGTTCTCTATCATTTCAGTCATTGTCTTAGTTTGTGTCTTGCTTATGTTCTCTGTTGCCTCAGTCTGTGTCTTATTTTGTTCAGCCATCTTCTCAGTTTGTTCAGTCACTGTTTTAGTCAGGTTTTCTATTGCTGCAACACCGATGGGACGAGAGAGACTATCTTCATACTGTCGCACCCTGTCAGCGACCTCATTTACAGCTGGTGTATCAGTATCAGATCCTCCCCCGACCATTGTTGACAAAGTGTGGGAATACACCGATGGTGCACTCTGCACAAACCTTTTCAACAAAGGTCGTTGGCACAGCATTTCTTCAGGATTTATAGTCACTTGCCAATCACCATAAATCACCTCTCGAATAGCCAGTTCTCTCAGGTACTTAATACCTTTCTCCATGCCAGTCCATTTGCTTGGATGGCATTGGATATCATCCTTAAAGGGATATCTGCTCTTTACAGCTGATAGCAGTCGTCTACAGAGACTGAGAATGTCTGCCTTATTCCCAATTGCTTTATCAATACCTCCCTCTTTGGCCAGATTTCCCAGCTGGTTGGCCTCTCTACCATCTAAATCTATGGAATTAGCTCCACTGTCCCAGCATCGGAGCAACCAAGAGAGAAGTGGCTCCCCATCACGATGAGTAAAATCCTTCCTCAGATTTTGCAAATCCTTCATAGATAAAGAATTAATAATTACATCTCCATCTGAGGCATCATCCTGTATTGAGGCTGGCTGAGAAGGACCCTCTCCCCTTTCTACCTGAGAAGGGGCTGCTGCAGGAGGTTGCTGTCCTTTATCTACACTAGCAGGACCCTTTCCTTGATCTTCATCAGGGGAACCCTCTCCCGTGCACTCTAGCTTGGGCATGTCCTTGTCGTAAGGGGCAGGGGCATTACATTCAGTAAAATTGACAGCACCGTCATGATTAAGTGACTTTGACGATAACCACAATAATCACAACAATTCTCCAAAGAGCCCACAGGTTTTTCATTCCCCAATTCCGTTAGTATCACTTTGGGATAACCACTAACAGGCAAGGTAAACTTTCCCCAGGTGAAATCAGAAGTGTAATTAGCAACAGAATCCACCACCTGATGCCCAAGATATGCAGGTATCATACCACCCCAACTGATCATATTATACATCTGGAGGCAAATCCACACAAACATAGCATGCTTGACCCACCGCATCCAAACACAAAAGACAAATAAACCCTTCAATATATTTGGCCAGTCAAACACCACCGCGTTAACAAACTTCATACAAAGCTCTCCGACAACATCATATAAAATGTTCTGTAGGAACGACATGATGTAAGCTGTGGGTTCTCCCTGAGCAAGCTGCAATTCAAACTATTCAAACAATCTTATCAGAGCTCAGGTCGTGCCACAATCATCGTCTGCCCCACATCGGGCACCAATAAATCTGTCGTGGTTTCAGCTGAAATCACCGCGACCGAACCCACAGATGGCCCTTCCTCCCCCCCCACCTCCCACCCCGAAAAAGGAGAGAAAGAGATAAGAAGATCGAAAAGTTTAGAATGAATTAAACTTATTTAATGAAAAATTCATATTAAAATAAAAAAGAGAGAAGAAAATAGTGAAATAGATACAATATATACCAAAACCATATCAAGCTCCCAGGATGACAGTCCCGTCACCAGCAGGCACTGAACCTTCTGCAATATCCATGTCATCACATTGGGGACAAGTCTAGGAAAAACTGGTCTCACCAGACTGTAGGTATGGTCCTGTTGCGTCCTGCAAGCCTTTCCTAAGCTCTGCTCTTCTGGAAGCCTCTGGCTGGTGATTTTCCTGATCTCTTTTTCTTGCTGGACTTGCTGGCAACCTCGGTCTTGCCAGGACTGGCTCCCCCAGCCTCACCTCGGCCCCAGCCAGGGCAGGTTTGGAAAGTGGTGGAAAGCTTCACCTTCTGCCCCCGGGCTTCTGCAGGGGACCCGCAGGTGGCCCCTATACGGAGGTTGAGTTTGTCGATCCACCTGGAAATGTGGCAGGAGATCAGGGAAAGGGGTGGGACAGGGCAAAGGGAGAGACAAAACTCTGTGCCTGTGAGTGGGCATGGGTCACTTCAAAGCCAGGCCAGGTTCCTCAGGGCCTCACCTGGGCAAGCTTTGAATATCTGCCCTCCACAGTCTGTGGATGCTTTTTCTACACCAGGAAAGCCCAGGCTACTTCCATCCTTGCACATAGGCATGTGCCCCATGGGAGTACCCATGGGAGCAAGCACAAAATGGCCAACGTGCAGGATCCAACCGTCCCCTGGGTTGTCCCCTGGGGCTGTTCTTCCCTGGTGGCACTCACCTGCGCAGAGGAAGGAGCTGGCAGTCGCAGTGGAAAGGCACATCCGTCAGGTTGAGGATCTCCAGCCCCGTGAAGTTCCTCATATCGGGGATGTTGCTCATTTTGTTGTTCTCCAGGAAGAGGCTTCTGATCTTGGGACCGAGACCAGTGAAGGCACCGGGGGAAATCTGCAACAAAGAGAGGGTGAGTCAGGGGGTCCTGATGGAGGCAGGGGAGCAAATCTCTGCCCTTGCACTGCTTCTCAGTCTGGGGGGCTGAAAGAGCCTGTCCTGAACCTGCCAGCCCTGTGAAAGAGCTGTTTTAAACAGTAGCATACATCCTTGGGGACTGTTATTTAACTCAACCAGTTTGGGTCGCATTTTGGGACTCATTAGACCCTGCTCAGTCTTCCTGGAAAGAGGGTGTCATGCAGGAGATCTTAGAGCAACCCCTGGATGCTGCTATATGAGGATGGTCCTCACAAGAGTAGTGCTGATGCTGCTTTCTTTAGAGAATAGAGGAGTTCAGGGTAATAGCAGTGAAAAGCCCCATGGGACAGCTCAGAGAAAGGCAGGAAAACCATGGCCAGGGCTGGGGAAAGGGAGTGGTTTGTGGAATGGTCTTGACCCCAGTGAAACTGGGGTGTCTTTAAGGAGTGAAGGGAGTGAGGCTGCCCCGGGGCGGCTGGGGGACAGGTTGGAGCCAGACAACACTCAGGCAGAGCCTGAGGAAGCCTCTCCTCCTGGCCAGGCTCTGGAGCATCTCCTGAAGCCTTGGGAGTTCAAGGGACATTCATTCAGATGCCCCTTTGGGGCCATCAGCCTTGGGCACCGGAATAAGATGGGATCTATGGCTATGCCCCTGCCCCTCAGGGGTCCCTGGCCACACGTACCTGCTCCAGGCCCATGTTGTCCAGGTAGAGGTGCTGCAGGCTGGAGGCCACCGGCAGGAAGGCGCCATCCTCCACATGCTTGATGGGGTTTTGTGACAGCTTCAGCTCGCTCAGGGCGGGCAGACCCCGCAGGGCTGATGTGGGCACCTCCACCAGGCGGTTTCCTTCCAGGTGCAGCTTCTCCAGCATCTTGGTGGGAACCAGGGCAGTGGGGGCGATGCGCTTGATGGCATTCCCAGCGAGGTAGAGCCAGCGCAGTCCCCCAGCCCCGGCCAGGTCACCCTCTGCCAGCTCCCTGATGGTGTTGTGCTGCAGGTGGAGGGAGATGAGGTTGGGAAGAAGCTGGAAGGTGCCTGCAGGCAGGTGGGTGAAGGTGTTGTGGTCCAGGTCGAGGTAGGCCAGCCTTGGGGCCCCCTCAAAGGCAGTAGCTGCCAAGGTGGAGAGGTGGTTGTCGGTGAGGTAGAGGTAGACCAGGTTTTCCAGCCCCCGCAGCGCCCCAGGCTGCAGCACCTTGATGCCACAGCTCTGCAGGTGGAGGGACACCAGCTCCTTCAGACCAGGAAAGGAGCCTGGTGGCACCACCCGGAAGGTGTTTCGGCGTAGGTCGAGGAGGCGGGTGTCCCCTGGGAAACCCCGGGGAATCTCCCGAAGGTCCCTGTTCTCGCAGGACCCATGATGGAAAGCAGGGGAGCAGGAGCAACCCTGGGGGCATTGCCCGCCGCCCCTCGGCTGCTCCAACGGCGCTGTGGGGCTGGGGGGTGGCCGGGGGTGGCCACATCTCATCTCGGGGGGCCGCAGGGAGTCAAGGGGCCGGCCGCGGAGGGCAGGGGGTGCGGTGCAGGACCCTTCCACCTGCACCCGTGCCCATGCCAGCCAGTCACGGAAGGGACGTAGGAGGCAGGAGCAGAGCAGAGGGTTCCCAGCCAGGCTGACCTTTGCCAGGCCCCCAGCCCCGGCCAGGGGTGGCAGCCCCTGCAGCTGGTTTTCACGGAGGTCCAGCGTGTGCAGCTGGGGGCTGCGGGCAAAGGCATCGGGCGCCACATCCTGGAGGGCGGCATGGTCCAGGAAGAGGTGCTTCAGGGAGGCCATGGCCAGGGCCTCCTCGGCGATGTAGGTGATGGGGTTGTGGCCCAGGTCCAGTCGGGTAGCCCCATCCAGCCTGGCCAGGGCCTCGCTGGGCAGTGCCTGCAGCTCATTGTGGTCCAGGCTCAGCCTGCGCAGGGCAGGCAGAGCAGCAAAGGCCTCATTGCCCAGCACATGGAGAGCGTTGTGGGACAGCCGGAGCCACCTGAGGACCTGCAGACCCTGGAAGACCATGTCTGGGAGGTAGACCAAGGCGTTCGCCCTCAGGTCAAGGACAGTGAGTGACCCCAGACGGCCAAAAGCACCTGGCTGGATCTCCTCAATACGATTCCCCTTCAGGATGAGCTGCTGGAGGGAGGACAGCCCATCCAGGGACTCCTGATAGAGAAGGGCTATGCCATTGGAGGCCAGGTTGAGGTAGACCAGCCTCCCCAGCCCCCGGAAAGCCCCTTCCTCCAGCCTCTCCACCTTGCAGCGCAGCAGGTCCAAGTGCGTGAGGTATGGGGTGTCGAGGAAGGCTCCTGCCGGGATGACTGTGAAGCTGTTGCCCCGAAGGTCCAGTTTTTTGGTGAGCTGTCGGTCACACAAATAAACACTGAGCCACCCAGAGCTGCCAGCCCCACCTCCTCTTCCCCCCATCCCCTGCCCATCCTTTTGCCCACCTGCGGGATGGTTCCGGGGATGGCTGTCAGGTTCCCGTTGAGGCAGAGCACTTGGGCACGGAGGTTGTCGCAGACGCAGGGTCCGGGGCAGTGGGCGGCAGCCGTACCCCCGAGCCCCAGGGCCACTGCGAACAGGAGGTGCCCCCAGGAGAACTTCATGGCGGAGGGCACCCGTGGCCTAGGAGAGATGGCAGTGAGACCAGGAGAGGGACCAGGCTCCCGTGTGTCCCTGGGTACTGGGTGCCACGGGGGCCGTAGCTGTGACCTAGCGGGGCAGGTCTCACCATCTCATGCTCTCACCCTGTGATTTTTACAGGTTATAAATGAGGAAGAGAAGAAGTAGAAAAGAAATATCGACAATGAAAAGTGAAGGTCACAGCCAGCAGGTCTCCACCTGGAAAGAGCTTCTACCCTGGTTATCTAAACTCCCTGGGGGAGGGTTGGGAGGACCTGCGAGGGGCTTGGCAGGAGCACAGGATCGCTTGTGGGGAAGTGGCTTGGGGCAGACACCCCTTTCTTTTTATATCACTAGCATAAAATTGTCATGATCTGCACCGAGTATCAATACTCCTCCTACAACCGAAGCTTTTATTTTTGTAAGATAAGCAGGTATAGCTATCCAGGAGATGTGATCCCACTGGCTTTCTGAGCTGCCACCCTTCTTTTGACTGCAAATGTCCCTTCTCTGTCACCCTAGCCACCTTCCAGCCCCCTGCCTTGCATCCTGCACGCTCCCTGCTTCCGCCCGTCTCCAAGCTATTAATAGCAGTTTTAGGAACAGATCTCCACTGTTCAGCTGCAGGAAGGCTGGATTGGTTTTGGCCAGGCAGGAGGGAGCTCCTGGGGTGGAGGTGCCAGAGAGGGGCCAAAGCTGGGGAGCAGCAGCAGTGGGGGTCTACACAGCTCAAACATGTGGGCGGCCACCGTGGTGCCCATCCCTTTGCCCACCTTCCCCCATGGTCCCATGTTCCTGCCACCACTGCAGGCACCCCTGCCTCAGCACCCCCCTTCCCTCCAGTGTGGCCACCAGCGAGTGCCACCAACACGGTGCCCCAGCTGAACTCACCTCCTGCACCTGGGCACTGTCCTCTTCCTGGGGGATCACGCACCTGGGGACTGGGGTACTTGCTCCTCACAAGGCGGCAAAGAAAGAGGGGAGAGCAGCTGCCCCCGCCCGGCGGCTGCCGAGACCCTGCGCTGGCTCCGCTCTCCTTGCAGAAGAGCGAGATGAATGAGTCCCCGTTGTGCCGCTTTCCCAGCGGCGCTCACTGGACGGAGTCTCCTCCTCCAGGCATTTCCTTACGCTCAGCTCACGGGGTGAGCGAGGTGAATCAGTGGAAAAATTTGCAGCAACCAGGCTGTGTGGGAACTGCACTTGCTGCTCCCTGAGGCTGTGCCACAGGACAGGAAGGTGACGTCCAGCCCAAATCGCAGTGGTAAGCCTGAGCAAAAGGGCAGAGGCAGCTGGCAGCCAGGCTGGGTGGGGCATGACACATTTACAGCCCCCCAGTTTTTCTAATTTTGCTTCTCTGTTTGTTTCAGAGTCCAGGGGTGGCAGTGCCCATGTGAAACATCATTTGCGTGCAAAAGCCCATAGAGGCCTTAATTTTCTTCCCCAACTTTGTCACTTTCCTTTTTTGACTGCTTTTCTCTCTCCCATGGCATGCAAGCAGATCTGCAGCCTGACAAAAAACCTGTAAGATTTGGTACCAAACTCTCTGTCCCCTTCAAGCCCTTCCCTTAATTCAGCAATCCCAGCTGCCAGAACCAGTATTCCCATCCCAGTCCCACCCAGGGAACTCACTGCCTGTGCCAAATCACCACGACCTGGTTTGGGTTCATGGCTGGCTGACCCCTCTGTGTCTGGCACAGAGTTTGGGGTGAGCTGAGGAGCAGCCCCAAAATGAAGCAGCAGGGAGCCAGGTGTTTGCATTCATAGAATCATCTAGGTTGGAAGGGACCTTTAAGATCATCTAGTCCAACCATCAACCATTCATTTCCAGCCTGGGGCCTCTGCTGCTGCCTTCCACTCTCCCTTGGTCCCCTGCAGCCTTCCTCCATGGAGGAAGCCCCTCGCTCAGGCTCAGCTTCGTTGTGGGATGTGCCACGGCCAGGAGAAGGAAAGGTCTCCAGACCTTCACCAGGTCAAAGTCATGTTCAGAGGTGGGTGATGATGCTCCACTCATCCCATGGCAGGTAAAGCTCTGGCACCAGCTGGCAGCAGTGCGTGTTAGGATGCAGGTGGGGGGGAACGCAGTGGTGGTGGGATGTGGGGAGGCACTGAGAAAAATCAGTCCTTTTGGCTGCAGGTTTTTTTAGCCCACCTGTGGATCCTGAGACTGATGGGAGACCACAGGGAGGTGGAGGTGAGGTACCAGGTAACCGGGCATCAAGTAACTCATCTGCCCTTTCTCCAATCTCCCCATGGGCTTTTAGTTTCTTCATTTACACAGTAATGATCTCAGCACCTACTGAGGCCACAGGGAACTGTCAGCTACTATACAGACCTGGATCCCTCTGTTGTGGCATGGGATATGAGTGACGTAAACTTGGAAATTTTTTTTTTTTAGTGAAGCAACACTGCTTTTACATAAATGCCACTACCTCTGCTGCCAGCATGATGCAAGATGCTGCTTTCCTGAGCCTGCTAGATCACAGCCACACAGAACTTCCCCCAGCCGCCCCAGTTTCACCAGTGGCTGCCTCAAACAGGCCCACAACCCGGAGGAAGTGAAGGAGAGAGCGCATGCAAGTAGGTCTTGCACATACCACACGCTTTATTTCAATCCAGTGCCCCAAGCCCTTTTCCCTGTGAGTTTACACCAGCTTTTCCTGCATTTAGGCCGAGCACGTGCCCCCTGGGTGCTGTGGCACACGTTACCTCTCAGAGGGATGGGACAGCTAACTCCATTCCTTGAGTTCTTCCTGGCACTGGCCCTATGCCATAATGCTGTCTCCTCCCACTGAAGCAGAGAGGGAAGGAACAGCTCTTTGCTGCCTAAAGAGAAAGGGATGTGCTGAATCCCAGAGACTTGAAAAAAAAGTGAGAGCAGGACATGCTTGTCCACACAGGAGTGCTGCAGGCAGGTGCCACAAACAGGTGTGGGCACATGGACAATCTTCCATACAGAGATTGGGGGCAGCTACTGCTATTGCTTCAGCTCAAGAAAAAAAAAAAAAAAAAAAAAGATCAGCACAGCCCTAATTCTTCATGCTCTTACACGTGCTCAGCTTTCAAACATGTGAACACTGCACACAGTCCCCACGTTTTGTCAAAGGGAGGAGAAAGGGAACAGGCATTCCACAGGGATTTAATGGATTGTATCCGTTTCCAAACCAAGCCTATTTAACTAGGAAGAGAGGGGAAAGGGACAGGGAAAGGGTGAGAAGACAGAACGACACAGGCAACAACAAAAAAAAATTTACAATAAAAATACGCTTGTTCCCTTAAGCAATGGCCACCAGGGTCAGCCACACTACACAAATATTCCAAGCCACAGCAGCAGGGGAGTAGTACATTAAAATACAAATCAGCCACATGCTGCCTTTGGCAAATGGACTTGAAAGAAGATACAAAGGGGAGCACACCTTGTCCCTCTGACCCAGCAGCAGCGCTCCTCCGGCCTGGAGAAACAGGAGTGGGGGCAGCAGTGTAGCCTCCCTCCTGCACAGCACTGAATGCAGTCAGGCAGGAGTCACAGTCCAATAAAATAAAATAAAATGCACAACTGGGTTGTTCCTGATGAGAGCGTTTCTGGGCCCCGTGAGAGTCTTGGTACACCCTTGACAATGTGACTGAAGTAGAGGACTTCTTTGTAATTCATGTGGAGCTCAGAGCAGAACTGACTTATTCTAGCATAGCACCTGCCCTGCAGACCAGGGAGTCATTTCACAAGAAGTAGGAAAAAAATAATATTCAAGGATTTCTTCAAGTTTATGGAAGCAGAAGGAAGGGCAAGACCTCCTACAGGGGAGAAAGGAAGGGATGAAAGGAAAAAAAAAAAAAAAAAAAAAGAAAGGACAGCATGTCTATATGGGCTCTGGGATCTTCTCCCATCATGCAGCTCTGAGTTCTCTGCTGACAACAGTCCTATGAGGAGGGAAGGGCACAGCACTCATCTCTTGCCTCTTACAGCTGGTGGAGGGTTTGTAAGAGCATGTGGCGAGCAAATGAACAGGAGTCAAGAGCGCGGTTTGGTCTGTGGAAAGAGGAGAGAGAGAGATTTAAAATACTACATTTAAGATCTGCTTTGTATCTGACTTTGGGTGAGCAAACACACACTACTTCTAACACACTGGGCACACACGCCCAAAAGTCTGTGTCTTTTTCTCTTGGTCATCTCCTCTGAAACAATTCCCTGACCTCTGCAGAGATCACTGCTCCCCATCCCGAGCTTGCTCTGGAAAATTCTCTCTCCTGTTGCTGAGTCCAAGTCAGGAAAACAATGACCAAGAATCAGAACATTTATTTCCAGAGGTACAAAAATCAGTGGCAGATTATTGACCTCTGCAGCCCAGTGTCTCAGAGAGAGACTTCCGTGGGTGGAAGCCCCTTCTCCCTCCCAGCAATGAAATTTTCCATAGAGATTCAACATTTAGGGCCCCTAAACACAGAAGATAAGCCTGCTCAGACTCATTTTTTTTTTTTTCTCACCCAGTTATCTGGTCTCTTTGACCTGATGGTGATGTTAATCTCAGGGCTCAAGTCTTTTAAAAAGGCCCTCCCCACCCCTTGCAGTCATGTAACACCTGACTGGCTTTGCTGGGCCATTTTTTGGGGGGCATTACAAATAGCCCACAGAACCTGCAGAGCACTGGCTGAAAGCACCTGGCACAGAGATTGCCCATAGCAAGGGTCTACCTCATGCAGAATAACCTGCTCCTTGAAACTAGGTGATGGAACTATAATTACATCAGAGTTCATGTGGGGGTAGATCTCCCTAACCTTCCCATCACCTCCCTAAAATGTGTATTTCTGTTTCCACAGGCTGACTGTTCCCTAAGCATTCCTGCAACTTCTAGCAGTCTGTATCCATCCATTGGGGAACTTTCTCCAAAGAATTTTAATCCAATATTTTTCACTGTTCTGCGGATGTAAAACATTAATTTTTACCCTTCTCCTAACTCCAACACAGAAAAATAACTGCAATCACAGGGAGGTCTTCTCAGTTTGGGAAATAAGGGGGAGCTGAAATAAAGATGGGAGTATTTAGGTAGGAGCAAAAAGTTCATCTCTGGATGTATAGTACATGGGCAACAGCAGCTGAGGTCAGTATAGGACTCCATGTATTCTATGGTTTGACAGAAGCACATTCTGGAGAAGAGTTAACCCCTGTTGTCCACCCAAGGGCCATTCAATGGCCCTCACTGAAGAGACAGGACACAACTACAACTAGCAGTTTATCTTCAAAATGGCTGGGGGAGGTACCTCAGGTACCATCTTTGGAAGACCCAGCCCTGTTTGCAATGAGCAGGCTGATTTTGTCTTGACAGCTCTCTATTTTTTGGAAATAGAGAACCTAAACTGCCAACGTTTATCACAGCCAAGCTCCCTCAGAGCCCAGTCCCAACACCAAGCCTCCTCTAACACCAAGGAACCTTCCTACTTGCTGTAGCATTAAACTGCCCCACTCTGTGCTATAGGCTATTGAAAAAGACCAGTGATGTGATCCAAATCCAACACCAAAGAAAAGCCAAACAAAAACCCCAAAATACCCACCAAGAAGTGGTGTAAAAAAAAAAAACCAAACACCACCACACAAACAACCCCGCCCACCAAAAACCCCCTCACAAAAAAAACCCCACCATCACCTCCTCCAGCAAGTGAGAAGCAGGCAGGCAAATACACAGATACTCTGTTCCTACCTAAAGAATCATGGAAAAAGCACAGGTGGATTCACAGCACCCTCTTGTGTCCAAAAAAAAAGAAAATAAGGACCCACAGCAGCAGAGTAAGATGGATGCTGCTTACACTCCATATCAGTAATTTTATTATTATTTTTAATAGAGAACACTACCCACACCATACCAAACTGTCACAAACAAAAAGAGTAGAATGACTACTCCAGAAGTAAACCCCTTGCAGCAAAAGGTAGCAGAGCTTTAACTTAAGCAGCTGTAAGAATATTACAGCTCTACAAGCCCAAGGGAGCTTCTAGATTTCCTAAAGGAAAAATCTAGATAATATCACAAAAATGCATACCCGTTTGCTACAAAGGACTCATGGGTTTGACAGAGTGGAAGCAGGTTTTTTGCAGAAATAGTGCTCTGTAGATGACTAGGTTAACCAGTCAGAAGTTTGATTTAAGGTTAGGATGTGATTTTGTTCCTTGAATTCCAAGGAAAGACAAGGAAAGAGAAGCTGTTTTAAGTGGACCTTGTGGTTCTTTAACTACTCGTGT